CCCCAAAACCCCAAAACCCCAAAACCCCATGTTATTAAATTTATGTGAAAAAGACTAAGCGTTAGGTATTAAATCGAAGAAATATATTTTTAAAATCTTAAGAATCATCGTATTTGCATTGAATTCAAATAAAATGAAGTCTTAATTTGCAAGTCTCCAGAAACGTGCAAATTCACGTTTGGATTTCCACAAAAGCCAAGATAAGATTGAAGAAGAGTAGGAAAGCAAAGAAAGCAGCTACTATGAGCAATCTATTTAGGATAGATACAGAACACATTAGCCCTAAGGTTAGCCCTAATCTGCTCTTAGTTAGTAGTTCTAGTAAGATAGAGAATAATGATTAAAGATTATTGAATTTAGTGGTAGCCACAAATTAAACAATGACTAATTGGAAATAAGTGATCTGGACTAATTGGGTGATGGATAGGAGAATTACAAGACTAATTCCATTGTAGGCAATTCATCTTCTAAGAAAATTTAAGCACCAAATATTCTAAAACTTACAATCAAAGATGATTCTAAAAAATCCAGGAATAATTCTAAATAAAACATAAATGATTTGGTTGAAAGCGAAGAAGAATGATTGGGAACTATTTTGGTAAAATCAGAAAGTGAATTGTCAGGATTACCAAGGGCTTAGAGAATATATGAAAGATTCATTCGGAAAACAACCACAAATAATATTAATAGATAGAAATCCATAGAGATGAGATAGACATAAAGTTCGACGATTTGAAGCTCATCACCTTACGAGAGATATACAAAGCGGTCTACCTTTGATGTGAACTTCTCAAACTCATCCTCCTCGAGACAAATCGTGGGTAGAAAAAATAGTAAATTTTTTTCTACCTTTTCGCTTGATGACTTCAATGGCAATAAAGTTGTATATGATAATGTCTCGATATATCGAGATATACTTGTTGAAAGGGAATTAGAGCGACTTAAAACAATAGAATCAAGAGATAAAATTAAATACATAATTTATCTTGTTGTTACAATCACACTTAATGTAATGAATCTTTTTGCTTGCTGCACGTTTATAATTGAAGATTACATTTCTTACTCAAATTGTACGGAGTCTGAAGCAGAGAACTAAGGAAATGACTGTACAAATGTAGGTTTGGAGGCAATAGACAAATTAGAGGTGTCATTCTCAATTATATTTATGATGGAAGTATTCTATAACTTTTTGCAATAAACAAAACCTAAGTACTAATTTTTCGTTAAAAAAGATACAATAGTTGATTTGCTAACTATAGTTCCTCCACTTCTAAATCTAGCATTAGAAAGCAAAATAAAAATAGGATTTTTGAGAATGCTCAGGATGCTTAAAGTTATGAGAGTAATTAGAATTTTTAAAATGCTTAAAAAAGCAGAGAGTAAAAGCAACGACTCAGGAGGAGGGAAAGATAATAAGCGTCCGTCATTCTCACTAAGTCCTATCTAAAATTAGGTCATCATTTTGATGCTTAATATTTTCACAACGGTTTTTATTGCAGCTGGTATAATAATGTTCATCGACAATGTCGTACCATAAAGCTTCTCCTCTAATATGAGATTCGTAGATGCTATTTATTATATGATTATAACAAGTGGTACAATCGGTTATGGAGATTACTTTCCAATAAATACCACAAGTAGAATGACGATCATTATAATCATAGTTATGATCATTTCAGTATTTGGAAATTAGATCTCAGCACTAGCTGCTATAATAAAAGAAGCAGATTTCTATGATACTTAATACAATCTAAAAGGTCATATAATTGTGCTTGGAACATAAAAAATAAGCATTTTGACAAAATTTCTTCTTAACTTTTATAAATCTCAAATTAATAACAATAATATTCCTCAATGTATCATCATTGGAGAAACTAGGATTTCCCCAAAAATGAAGAGAATTCTGAGTTTCACACTATTTGAAGATCGAGTACACTACTTATCAGTTAAAAATATTGATTAATAAGCTCTTAAAAAAGGTTGTTTCTACGATGCAGCTGCAATCTTTTATCTATCTGATCAGTTTTCGGATTCACCTGATTCCTCAGACAAGAAAGCTCTGTTCATAAATCAGTTCTTAATGAATAATAATATTCGTTGCAATTTGTATATTCAGCTATGCATAACGGAACAACCAAGCTTTATGAGAATGTAGGCAATAGAGATTTCTCTAGAAAAGCAGAAAGAGATTAGAGCTAGAATTCTTAAATTACATGGTTTATCAGGGTTCGCAGAAAATATTAATAACGAATTTTAAAGACATTAGCTCTAGAATATTATCTCTATTAATTTGGTTAAGACAAAGTTTCAGATACTTGCATTCTCACTGTTTAACGAAGGCGCCATCCAGCTTTTTTCAAACTGGTTTCTAAATGATCATGAGTTGCTAGATGAAAGCCAATTCAAATCAAGTAGGTAAAAGGAACAATTTTCTAGTTTAATTGAAACCTCATCTATTTATTAATAATAGCTGGATTATAAGTTGTTTTTGATAGATTTCCCTATTTGTTTTGTCGGAAGGTCTTTTAGAGAGGCAATGAAAATTGTAAACAATATCAATCATTGCTATTAAGGAAATTATATTGTGAAGTGTATATTAATTGGAATAAAGAGGGTATCAGAATTCCCAAAATAAACTGTCTACAACTAGCATGGAAATGAAACTGATCATTAATTACTAGATTCTGAGGGAGTTGAGTAAGAAGAGATGTCATAATGGCATATAAATCAAACTTTGCCAAATTTTAATTGTGGTAGCAACTATTATATCATTAATTCTCCAGATTCAAACATATGCTACAATGATCAAGCTATAATTCTCTCATCTTGTGATGATGTTAATAGATTCTTCAGTGCAAAAATGGTTGATCAAATACTAAGATACGAGCATAGAGATCCTGTAAAAGAATACTATGATAAAAAAAGAAAAAATCTAATAAAAGATAAGCGTAGAAGTAGCATTAATCTAAGTCGTATTTTACCTTAAGGAGAATCCTCGTAATTAAAGAGATCCTAAACTTTTTTGAGTAGCACAAATAATTTACAATAAACAACAAATTTTGAAAATTAACCTAGTCATAGGCTTTTGATATCAGAGAGTGACAAGAATGATCATGAAGAAAATTATGCATCAAGATAAATATCTATAAAGGCTAATCACTAAAACAACTTGAATGTAATATCATCTCCTAAACATAATTATTAACAGAGATCATCGGTGAAAAATAACAACAATGCAACCCCATAAAATACAACTCAACACGAAGAGGGAAATTCTACTTTTGAAAGTATATCAGATGAATTCGACGATAATCTAGAAAATGATAGTGATGAAGACCTATGCCTAGGTGGTATAACTTCTAACACTTCTGCTTAAAGATCCTAGAAACGAAGTTAGGGAGACGATTTATTTAAGGTGATCAAGAATGCATCGAAAGTTGCCTTCTATAAAAAATTGGAATAAAACAAGGAGGAAAAATGTAATCACTTCATAAAGCAAAGCTTAAAGCACTAAATCAGAAAAATGTTTGACTATCGATGCTCAGTAGATTTTGATGATGATGAAAATGAAGTAAAACTATATGATTTATCTACAACAGATGTAAAAAAAAAGCTTGGAAATCATATCATTATTCATGGTGTCTAAAAATCAGGAGTTTAGTTTTTTTTTGAGGAAGTAAGAAAAATGTCTGAGGTACCACTTTGCATGTATTCTTAGAGCGAAGAATTGGAAATGGAATTCAATCGAATGACAGCAAAGTTTAGTAACATATATTTCTTGAGAGGAGACATCCTTAATATCAGGCATATGGAGAATGCAAATGTCAAACAGGCTCAAGCAATCGTTGTATTGAGTGAAAGAACAGTAGAGTAGCCTTTTGGTGATTCAAAATCAATCATTATAACCTAATTTATAAAAAGTTTATACCCTCAGAAAAGAATAATAACTGAGATATTAGATATTTCTAGATTAGGTTTATTGGAGTAGTCGATTAAGGAAGAAATAAGAAATGAGAAAAATTTATCCTATTCATATTTCCTTTCGAGAGAACTAATGTCCGGTAGAATATTTTTTTCTTAACAAATTGATGTTATGGCATCAATGAGAAGTACAGAACCACATTTAACTACTGTGTTTCTAAAAATAATTGGTTAACAAACAGAAATTTAAAATTACAATGAAGAACAAGCAAAAGTTGATAAATAGAAATAATCTAAATTAAAGAAAGAAGATGTCAATGAAAAATCAAACCTACTTTCTCTAAGAGTTCCAGATTTTATTGACGGCTAAGATTATTGGGAATTTTTCGAGGATATGAATAATTACAAAGGGTTCATTTTACTTGGAATATATACCTAGAATTTTAATAGTAAAGAGCAAAATGAAAATATTAAGATCTATGAAGAACTTAAGGCATAATATGAAAATGAGATTCATAAATAAAATAAATTCTCAGGAAATAATGAGACGCATGGTAGAAGTAAGTCTAAATTTTTCTAATCAAAAGCTACAAGAAAGATCAGCGAAGAGGAGCAATGGTTCAACATAGATCCTTCAGCTATTAGTAATAAATTACCACTGCTTATCTTAAATCCTCCAATGGGCACTAGGCTTTAAGCAGGCGATACAATTTTGGCATTAGGATAAATTGATTAAAGCTTCTTGAGTAGTCATCTTTAATAGAAAGGTTATTAAAAAGTCTAGAATAATAAAAAGTGAAAAATTGACCTTTGAAATTGTCTTATTCTATTCATTAAAAATATTGCAATTTTGTAACTAAAATTAAAGTTCCAATTACCTAATTCTATATTTATTTAAATTTATTAACACTTCCAAAATCTTTGAAAAAACATTAATATGGGGTTTTGGGGTTTTGGGGTTTTGGGG